TAATAATAATAATAATAATAATAATAATAAATAATAATAAATAATAGTAACACAGGCTGACCCATTATCGAATTGGACCGAACAGAGTAGTGAATTTTATCATCGAATGCTTGAAAGGATAAATAATTTTGCTTCAACAATGGCTGATATGGTTAAATATTCATTTATTATTGAACCAGGTACAATAACACCTCATCTATCGGTAAATTCTCCAAAACTATTTTTTTTCTCCTGAAATTACAAAATTTCGTAAAGTTTCTATTCCCTTCACAACAAACAGATTTAGTTTTTCTTCCTTCCTTTTCCATTTCAATATTACAAATTCATGCTAATTTATTTCTTGAAATCAAATTTTTCAAGATTGATTAGTCCATTAATTTCGAAACTTTCGATCAATTATCAATTTTTTTTTGATAAAAACAATTCCAAAATGAGATTCAAAACTTTTGGTCAATTTTCGAGATAGAATTATATCCTAAAATGAGATTTAGAATGTAATTTTTGTGCATAATTGCAGATAAATTTCTGATAAGTTATCAATTTATTAGTATTTCCAAATGAATTTCTGATAATTTATTAAATTAGCATACATATGGATTTTTTGTAATGAAAAAGAAAGCAAAAAAAAAAAAAACAATAACTTATTTGTTATGAAAGATATAAAATTTGAAAATTTTTTGTTAATTTTAATATATTTAATTTAATATTTTTTTTTCATAATTTGTTAAAATGCTTTTTTCTTCTCCTTCCATCATTTTCTTTTTTAAAGGAATATATGGCAGAATTTCAACAGTTAAAAACATTTTTTGAGCGTAATCCGTTATCATCAAAAGAAACCGAACAGAATGCATTTAATCAAAATCTTGATAAAGCAAGAAATAAATGTTAGTTTAATTTAAATTTTTTCTTTTTTTACTGGACAATAGTTTAATGTTCATTTTCTCTGTTATCTTTTCTTTTGATAATTATCAACATGAAAACAACAAATATGTCATGAAGCATAATCGCATTTTTATTCTAAAAAATGTCAACAAATTAAGAATGCCTAAATATGCCTAAATATTATTTGGTCATTTTGATTACTTGGAGGTTAAAGGTGATCTAAATTAGGTATATGCTTAATTTAAGTACAAATTATGTAGCATCATATTATGCGATCTTATTCCATATTTCGTCATAAACATTTCTTCATTCAATACGATCAAATTTATTAATTAACCAGGGGAGGTAATCTGATATATCAGGGTTAGCCATATGGCTTTTCGCTAGGCTTTCAACCTTTTAGGTTGCTATTTGTCCTAGAATTAAATCTTTGTTGTGCTATTTATAGCTGCAATTTTATCGCTTATTTCAATTACAATATGATAATGATCAGAACTATTACGGTACCATTTCTCGTTACAGTATTCGAATGTGCTGATATTAGTCGTGTTATATTATGGCGTAAAAAAACAATAAATTACGATAATGGTTCAATTATTTCCTATAAGCCTAGAATACGAGAATTATCACACTTACATCATACGGATGACATTTTAAAGCCTATTAATGTGACAACAAATCATTCCACCAATAAAAGGTATCTGTTAATTTTTTCCTTAGCATTTTTGAATTCGTTGACAAATAATAATAATTATTTTAAACTAACTTATATTTCAACCATTTGGAAACTTTTAAAAACTACGCTACGCTAATTAAATTATTTTAAAATATTTAATTCAATTTTCTTTCTTTTTTTTAAAAAAAAGAAGAAAAACAAAATTTTCTGCTTATTTCCAAATTTATTGTGTAATATTATTAACTTATAATGATATTAGCATAATTTGTTCAACATTGATAACCATCAATGTTCCAACTGATAATAGCATTTAATAGCTTATCAAAAATAAAAATGAAATAATCATTTAAATTATTTCCATTATATCAATATGGCAAAAATTTATTTTACTGGATATTTCAATTTATTTTCATCCTGCTATTATTCTGCTAATTACAGAACAATTTTTTTTTCCCCCTGCATTCATTAAAATTTTCTCAAAAAAAAAGAATTATTGTCATATCTTTTGTCATTTTTGATACTGTTAATAATGGCTTATTGATTTGTTTCGCAATTTTAGCACAGATTAACCAGTAATTGATTAATTATTTATTTATTTACTTATTTTTTAAACTATGCTTGATCAGTTTTAATTAATAAAATTTAAAATGGTATAATTTTTATAACATTACCAACATAAAATGATTTATTAAGGAAAATTTTTGTTATTTCAATTATTAATTAAAATTAATAATCTTTCCAATTATTTCTTACATTATTTAATTTTTATTATTTAAATTTTATTAACCTTTTTTTTTTTAATGCTAATTTTTTTCAAATAATATTAGTAACTTTTGAAAGTATTATTTTATTTATTATTTTAAATTTTATCATTTATATATTTAGTATATATTAAAATATTTTCTAAAATAGATTTTAATTTTTAGCAATGATTTCATTCATGCATCATACGTACGTGGTGGTCCACTTTTGAACACGTTTATTTTAACACAAGCACCATTTCCGTCAACAATTAATGATTTCTGGGAAATGGTTTGGCAGGAACGCTCGAAATATATCATCATGTTATGTAAAGCTGTTGATATTAAACGTTTAGGCTTATTAGATGGTGTATTACCTAATACGTGCGTATATTATTGGCCAAGGTAAGTTTACAACCGAACCTATATTTGTATTACTAGCCAAGATATGTGTATCATCTAACACTTACGTGTCCTATTGGTCAAGGTAAATTTTACTATCTAACACTTGCGTGTATTATTGACTAAGGTAAATTTACTATCTAATACTTGGAAAGTAATTAACCAAGGTATGTGTACTACCTAACATATATGTGTATAATTGGCAAAAGTAATATTTCTTGTGTAATGATTGAATGTGATTAATTCATTTTTGTAATGTTTCAATTTTCCCTAATTATTTCATAATTATTAGCATATTATCATGATAGCAAAATTATACCTTATCATTCCAATTTAATCTTTTTCATCAATATTCATTAAAATTATCAAATAAATATCACGTGTATTTGTGTAGTTTTGAAATGTTGCAACCTATTATTTTACTAAAATCAATTAACGGTATATTTTAGGCTATTTAAGAATATTTAAAAGGATTCAATAAAATTAACATTTAGAAAGAATCAATAAAATTATTCAAAAATGTATAAAATTTTTAAACTTAGTTTATTTCATTTGAAAAAAAAAGAAAAACAATCTTATTTCTCATTAGCACATATAATTAATATTTAATTGTTAGTTTTTTTTTTCAATTTTAACTTTATAATTCATATATGATACCTTAATTTTACTATTTTATTTCTTTTTGTAATTTATTTAATGCTAAAACTAATCATTTGTCATCGAATATTGCCATTGTTAACTTTTTATTTTAAAATGTTTGTGATATTTTCCTTTCTTTTTCTTTTCTGTTTTAGCAATGAATCGATGATAATATTGTTTAAATTTTTTTTTTTTTTTTTCAAAATTGCATTATTACATCGTAAATTTGACATGTATAGAAATAAAAATTCCAATTAAAAATTTCTTTTTTGCATAACTTTTTTTTTGTATAATTTTAAATTTAAAAATTTTTCTTTAAATAGATATGAACATGATAAGGAACAATATGGTGATTACATTATTTGCAATGATAAAATCGATGGTACCATTGATCCATTTTTCAATGTCACCTATTTAACTATGCAACGAGTTGATGATCAAGAAGGTTTTGTGCATAAATTAGAACATTGGCAATATGATTGGAATGATTTCACTGATTTTTATTGGCCATTACGTATACTTAGACGGTATATGGTTTATCATTTTTATCAGTAAAATCATCGTAAATTTCTTTCTTTTATCATTCAAAAATCTTTATTATCATCATCATTATCGATCATCATTATCATCACAAACATTTTTACTATTGCTATTAATAACAATGTTATTATCATTGTCATTTCGATCATTAACATCATCTCCACTATCATCTCCTTATCACCATCATCATCAATATCAGCAATTATTAATACTAATTCATTCAATTGCTTCATTGCTGTCGTCATCTAATCCGTATTTTCTTGACTTCAAATGTTAATTTTTTTTTTTGTTATAGTGATAACATAATGTTAAGTACAGTATTGTTACCGTTTCCAATCATAGAGTAACAGTATACAGTAATCATTCATGATCTTTGATGTATGTGTTAGTATTTTTT